TTTCCAGAACAGTTATTCCGGCCTTAGGAATTCTCAGAAATTCTCCGAGAACTCATCCTAGAGGCTCCCTTAGGGTCTCATGTAAAGTGGCATGAGGTCGCTATTTTCTCTGCTCTTTCTTCTGCTCTTTCTTCTTGTCATAAATATTGTTGCAGCTAATTGCTGTATTTTCATGTTATTGGTTTTTAATCTTATCTGATTTAATATTCTTTTATGGGGATAGGGTTGGGATGGGATTGTGATGTAGTGTATTTTTAACTTGTCAGCCGCCCCGATTGTTCTCAGAGGGGCGGGGTATAAATATTATTATTATTATTATTATTATTATTATTATTATTATCTTGCATTTTAGAATCTTTTCTAGTTCTTTCATAGACACCCTCCCCTTTCTTAATCTCCTGATTTCCTGACTGCAATCCCCATTTCTATCAATGTTTAATCTCAAGTATGGGGATTCTTTTACTATTTCTATTTCTTCATTGTCTAGGTTAAACTTGTGAAGGTCCTTGGTGGTCATTACTTTTGTTTTCTTTATGTTCAACATTAAGCCTACCTTTGCACTTTCTTCTTTGGTCTTCCTTAGTAGGTTTTCCAGATCTGTGAGGTTTTCTGCTAGTACAATGGTGTCATCTGCACATCTTAGACTGTTGACATTCCTTCTTTCTAGTTTCACTCCTTCTTTTTCTGTGTCCAAGCCTGCTTTTCTTATAATAAGTTCTGTATACAAGCTGAAAAGATAAGATGAAATGATGCAGCCTTGTCTGACACCTTTGCCAATTCATTACAAGGCTGAAAAATTTATACCTGTTGTCTATTACATTTTTAAGTGATTTCAAACCATCATTTATTGCTTTTCTATTAACTTTTTTATTGCTTTTGCCTTCTTTAGGATTGATAAGAGACATTAGGGTCTTAGGAATGATAAGAGAATGACAAAGAGAACAAACAAACAAACAAACAAACATAGCCTTGAAAAATTATTTACCAAAAATGCTCTTAGCCATCTTAAAAGCAACAAAAAACATTTACTCGTGTCAGTAAACTTCATTCCTGTTTATTATATTGCTCTGCCTTCAATGCCTTCAATGCCAAGAAAACCGCTAGCTACAATTAACTACATTGCTTGTAACTTGTTCCAAAATTTCACATACCCATATTGTATTTTCTGCTCTGCTACAAACAGCAGCATTGCCAGTGATGCTATGCACAATCATTCAGTAGTGCTCATAAAGTCTAATGGTTCTTTTTTGATTTCTGTAAGAAAGATTGGGGTAAGAAGCTCAGCTCATCCCTAATAGGAGGCCTCTTGCATATTCCTGCCCCTGGCAGAAAACCTTGCTCTGTCAGACAAGCAGGTAGCAAGGCAGGTATGTAAACACTATTGTGTTTGCTTCCCATGGAGGCCAGAGAGAACATGGGAGCTAGACAACTGAGGCTGAATAAGATGCCACCTAATCAAGACACTGACTCAATCAGCCTTTGTTTTTTTTTTTTTTTAAAGAAACCAGCCTAGTGGAAGGAGCAGGGAGGGGGCAGACTAGTTATCACTTTTTGACCCATGGACAGTCAAGAAGAAGAGGAAGAAGCAGGTGGAAAGAAAAGAATTAACCAGGAATAGTGGAGAGTCAGCATGGTGTAGTGATCAAGTGTTGGACTACAATTCTGGAGACCAGGGTTCGATTCCCTGCTCGGCCATGAAACCCACTAGGTGACCCTGGGCAAGTCAGATGCTCTCAGCTCCAGGGGAAGGCAATGGCAAACCCCCTCTGAATAAATCTTGCCAAGAAAACCCCATGATAGGGTCACCTTAGGACCACCATAAGTTGGAAATGACTTGAAGGCACACAACCACGACAAAGAATGGGGAGACTGGACCAATTCAGTGTGCAAACTCCCTATCCCTAATGGAGCTGCTTGCTCAAAGGATATGCTTGACAGGGCCCAATCTCTTTTGGAGTTGACCATGCCCAAGTGCTTTCATCCCTACTCCTACAGTGCCAGCCCTACCATGAGACAGAATGAAGTATCTGCTTCTGGCAACAAATCTTGGGTGTCATATGAATCTTGGCTGTAATTTGTATGTATGTACATTTGTTATTGTTTGTTGTATCCTTACTGTTAGGGATTTGTCTTGTGGGATTTACTTCTTCATAGGCCAAATCACCTGGCTCACTATAGGCATGGTGTCCCTTTACTTGGGTGGATAAGGGATGCCACTTGCTACTCAGTTTCAGTCATCTGAGTGTTTTGGGCCAGCCATTCATCCATGCTTGAAGTGAATACAAGTTAAACACCAGAAGGGTCTCTTTTGCTGGTCTCATTAATTTTTGTAAAGCACTTCCCAGTGGACTCTGGACTCTTCCAAAACACTTGAGTCATCCTTGGGAATGGGAATGGAGGAGATGGCCTCTAAATGGTTTGACACTGCCTTGTCTTTTCTCCAGAAGCTGGAGTGAAAATCTGTGAGAATGTGGGGTGGGTGTGCATGTGTGTGATTCATTTACCATATGGCTTCTTAACATAAGGGAAAAGGGGAGCCCACAGGGTGCTTCATCAGGAGAATATTACGAGGAATATTATGAGGAAATGAATGGGTTTTTTATTGCCTTCAAAACTATGACTCCAAATTTAAGGAGGATTATGAATAAAGTTCTTTGAGGTAGGTATTATGATCAAATCATCCTGAAAGTTTTGTGTGTGTGTTTTTTAAAAAAATCAAGATTTCTTGATTTTGTATTTTTAAGCCTTTGTATTTTTAACAAGATTGGCTGAAGGATTTTAATGACGCAACACAACTTTGCATTAAATCTTAAAGTTTATGCTGACCTACATTTATTGGAAGTAGCTTGCAAAATATATTTGTTTACATCTTGGTGAAAGGCTTGGAAAGACAAATTCAGATTTTCTGTTATTGTAGTAGTTGTCATCTTCATTGTCGTCGCCATTATCATCTTTATTGCTACTACTATGGATAGAGTCTGGAAAAAATACTAAATGTTTTAAAGATGGTGTTCATTACTGGATTTTAAAAGGGTTGTGTTTGCAGTTTTTCCATTTACAGCTCCAATCAGGAAGCCAGGCCTTCTTTCAGGATATCCAATTCTATTTGCAACTCAGTTTTCTTCTCCATCCGTAAGCAGTCAATCATTTGGTCTGCCCATTAAGCACCCTCAGTCCCCACTGAGATGTTTTGAGTAATCTTCCCTATCATCATCACAATATTGAATTGGAGACATTGTATTGTGATTATGATAGTGTCCAATTTGGCTGCAAGATTTTGGATATCTTCCAGTGTTAAATTAGTGGAGCTGAATTTTAATAAGTGCATTGTTTCCCCCCCCCCCAAAAAAGCTTGTTTGGCTTTCATCATTTTTATATTGTCAGACCCCCACTGGTCAAGTTAAAAGAAATCATGGATTGATAAGGTAGAACAAATAGAACATATTTTTTAAAATGCCTAAAGCCACTCTTGGAAGCCAACAACTTATGAGTAAAGTCTAAAAGACCATCTTAGAGAACAAGTTTCCAGGCTGCATGTAAACAAAGGCACTCAGATTTGCTATGGCACACTAGAGGATGAGACTTGTAGCTGGTATCTTTCAAATAAAACCCCCAAATCTGCAACCTCTAGACTTTCTCATAGTCTTTGTGGGTGATGCTATCATTAACTTATGGATTATGGGAGGAGGAGGCTGCTGTAGATGGATCAGACCAGCAATACAACATTTCTGGTTGAAATCCTTTCCCTTTTTCCCCTAGGAAAAGGGGAAAATGGAAATTGGGGGGGGGGCGGCTGAACTATATCCAATTTTATTAGTAAAGTTAGGGAGTAAGGATCAAAGGATTATGCAGTAAAAGACAGTTCAATAACTGCTCTTATTCCCTTATTCTCCAAGGGGTATAAACACAAGCAGGACAATCCTCCTAAATCCTTCCTTGCTGACCCCAGCTGTCAATAATAATTCAGGTAACACCTCTGTACAGTTCTTTCCATGAACCATCTGCTTGCTTTAATGGCCAATTAAATATAGAGATACAAAAGGCTGGGTTGCACTGAGAAATCTCACATGGAGAAGTCCTGATTAGATATGAATCATTGTCTGTTTGATTAAAATTTACCCTTAAATCCTTGCATTCAGCTTTCCATTCATTCTGTGCATCAGTTTCCCTTGCTTGAATCTTTTGCTATCCATCTATTAAAATCAGGTCAAGTTCAGAAAAGGTAAGGTGCGACATTTCTAGACTATCATCCTGCAGTTCTCCCAGTTCTCCCATAACTGATCTGTTTGACAAGGTCATGCCCAATTTTTCCCAATCCAGCAAGAATTCACCTACATGACCCCTCATCCCTCTTAGTGTTGTCAGCCTGCAGATCAGTGGAAGCCATGTTGTTATCAGGTTCTTGATTAGGTTTATCAGGTTGCATGAAGGAGGAGGAGGAGGAGGGGTGCTGTTGTCAAAATTCCTATTTCAATTAAACCTGTTAAGACCTGGATATTGGCCTTGAGGCTGGAGAGTTCCTCCTTTAGGCAATCTACTCTCTGGAAAATTCTCTCCTTCGTTTGAGCTGCAAGAAAGCATTGGCCCTGAAGACATCACTACATTTCTGCAAGGATTTCTTTTCTGTATCCTTATCTGAAGACTGAGCCTGTTGCGCTGGGCTTGGGCTTAAGTTAAACAAAGGACTATTATAGACAGAGGGCATTAAATAAGATTTTTGATGTAGACATTCTGGACCAATTGCCCAACAGTTCTTGATCATTTAGGCCCACTAAAACATCCAGCTGGTCATTAATAACATTACAGTTGCCCCTCCCAATTCACGAGGGATCCATTCTGGACTCCCTCACGAAAATGGCAACTTGCACATATTCGAGTCCCATAAAAAATAATGGTGCACACGCCCAGGCCGCGCACAGGCATGCACTGCCATTCTGTTAATGGCCGCTTGTCCCTCCCATGAAGAGCAAGAACACAGATTCCAAGTCCACAAAAATGGAGGGACAACTGTATTGTTCACTGCAGAAACAAAATTCAGTATTTCTAGTGCCTTAGCAGTAGACCCAGAGTTGGCTTTACTTGAAATCTCCTCTGTAAATTTACTTCTGTTTTCCACTGGCAGACAATATTCCAGAATAGTCTTTCGTGTAGTTCTTTAAATCTCTGCTGATTTCTCTGGGCTCTGGTTACAACCATAATGACCTAGCCACACATTCTCCAGAAAGACTCCAAACACATTATTTTTTCAGGAGAAAGGTGGCAGGGGGTTCTTTTAAGTTCTGAAGCATTGTTTTCCTCCTCTCTTTCCTGACCAACTTTGAAATGGGGATGGAACAGTTCAATCACAAGGCCTCCTTCTAGCCCACAGTACCAGATTTGAACTGTTAACAAAATGTGGAAACTTTGATGACGCAGCCAGTATAAACATCCCACAGTACCAAACAGCCTCACAAAAAAGCTCTCTCTCTTTTTCCCCCAGTCCCAAACAGCTTTTTATAGTCTTTCAAGGCTTCTGATAATACTCAAAAGTAGCAAATGGCATGAACAACCAGCACAGTTAAAAAAAATCCTCCACAAAACAGGAGATAAACCAAAATAAAACTAATACAAATAGAGCAGGGCTTTAAAAGGCTATGCAACATAAAATAGCTAGCAAATTAAGAACTTTAAAAATCCAGATAAAACCTCATTAGAAGGTAAAAACATCAGCTCTTTAGATTATTCCCTATTGTGCCACCACCAGTTTTCCTCCAGAGTCTCACCCCCAATTTTATTTTCATATCAAATTCAAAGGTTTAATTGATAATGCAGAATGTAAAATTAGACTATATGATATATCTGTGAAGAAAAATGTAAAACACTTAATTTTGTCCAAGCAAACTTGTGTGTATATCCTATACCAAAGAGAGAGCTGGGAACTGCTGTAACCTAACTTACAACAGCTGAGAAGTAGGAAAAAATAAAGACCACAAATTTTATAATAAACAAACTAAGGCGTGTTATTTGGACAGAAAATGTCTCATACAGTCACAGTCTTAAGGATACAAAGTACATTCATCCCTCCATATCCCTCCAACATTTGGAGTTAGGGGCACAGGACCCCCGTAAATGTGGAAAAACCGCAAATAACAAAAACTCTATGTTTTTACCTGAGAGAGAACACCATTCTAGGAATCTCTAAGTTCCCCAGTGCAACTCTGTGGTCAACATCTACTAGACATTGATCATAGAATTGCATTGGAGGAGATACAAATGCCTAGTGGAGTGTTCTCTCTAGGTCCTTCAGTGTGACTTTAGTTGACCATAGAGTTG